TTCAGTTTTACGCTACATTCGACGTTGAGTAATCTTTCGGCTCACTATCCAGCAAACAAGCTCATTTTAACGTCAAAATCTGGTAAGAAATGAACAAGAAATGAACAAAAAACTTGAGAAATTTCGAAAAAATTGAAAAAAATTAATTTAAGCTAAAAATGATAACAGATTTTTTTATATTTTGACATTAAAAATAACTATAAAAAATTGGAAACAAATCTAACGTTAACGGCGTCTAACGTTTCCCGAAGTTTACTCGTAAGAGCCTCCGTTTCCCCTCCGGCAGGAAAGAACGCGCACGCCTCGTTCGTTAATTCGACCGATCTCTCTCCTCCGTGTTAGTTGACACCGGGGAGGAGGTCGATAAGGAACGCTCTTATCCTTCGATCAATTCCAGACCGCCGAGACGAGCTCTCCTCCAGGCGAAGCCTAATCGTTACAAGCAAGTCCGCACATCGGACGTTCAGCAATCAGCCCGGAGAAAACGCGACAACGTCCGCGACCGCGTTTTTGCGTCTTCCAGGGAGATTCGCCGAAGAATCGAAATTGCAGGAAAATGCAGCTCCGTCCGATCGAAGCTGTTTAAGAGGTGCACGTCGAAGTGCGAGGACGAGATAATATCGCGGAAACGGCCGCGATAGTGGGGCGCGAGTAATCGCGCCAAAACGCGCGGGAACATCGCCGGAAAGATTTGCCGATATCTCGGCGGCGCGATCTCCGCAGGAAACCGCCGAGCGTGCTCGTTGCGAAAGCCGCGTATCGAGTTTTTCTCGGCTGCATCGGCCGACACGAGCGAGTAATTAGCTGGAACCTCAGGGCCGCGGACGAGGCCGGAAACTGCGTATGCCACGGTTATAACGGCGCGGCGAGAGAGAGAGAAAGAGAGAGAGAGATTGCGGTATTGGCGATACTGAGAATGGACGGATGGATGGATGGATGGATAGACGGATGGAGAGCGAGAAAGAACGCGATATATTCGCGTCTCGGCCTGTCCTTATTATTCGCGCGCGTTGCTCTCTTGCGCGTGTTTTCCGACTCTTTGCATATTTCATCGTTCTCGGAAAAGAAGTCTGCTTGCCGTGCGTCGTCCCGTGAGCATGCAAATCGAGAAACGCAAGGCCGAATGCTCGGCTGGACGGAGGAAAACAGCGAGCGGAGCAATCAATAGCCGGTAGGAAATAATCGATCGCGCGAGCGGAGCGCGTCGCTCGCTCGGTTACAATTATACGCGGTGACATAAGCGAGGATCATCCGCGATATCGCGCGTGCGCGCTGGCAATGTCGATCTCCGTCGCGTGGGATCATCCGGTACGATTAAGTGCGTAATTAGCGCGCGATCAGCGCCCGCACAATTGTTCAATTGTGTGCATTATCGGATTTAAGGTGCAACGATGATTTTACGATGACAGACGCGGAGGATGTGGACAAAATCGCGCCGCGCGATATATTTTCGACCTCGTCCTGATGACGATCCTTCGGTCTCGGAGCTTTGCGTATAATCACGTGCGAATAATAAAATATGAATCCTCTTGAATCTCTTCGTCCACCCCCCCCTCCCCGCCCCCCCTCTCTCTCTCTCTCTCTCTTTCTCTATCGATAAGTGAAGCAGTTTATCCACACCGCGATGTGGCGTCACGTTATTGAGTAACGATGCGACACGATGCGGAACCGCATCTATAGGGTGTTTGCTGACAGACGTATCCGATGAACTCGATAGCTTGTCTCCTCGAGAACTACGAGTCTCCGTATGCGCGACCCACTAGAAAGAATTTCCTCGAACTGTCTTGGCACTGCCAGCGGCGAATCTCTCAGTCTTTTCGTTTGTTGCCGATTATTGGATATTTAAAAATACAATTGTAGACGATAAAGTCCGTACAAGCGAAAGCTCAGGTGAGACACAAGTTTCCGTTGACCTTGAAGCTCACACTTCGCCGAAGCCGTTTGCCAATCGATCGCAAAATAATCAACGTTTCATTTTCCGTCTGCGGTTTCCTCGAGGCAAAAATACGTCGCTTCCTTTATCGAACACGGATCGCTCAGATCGCTGAAATCTCCGGTTCAGAGGCGGATGCCGTTTGCAGTGGCTATACCGTAAGTAGGTCTTGATTCGAACGTTCTGCTGAGAAAAGTGTCAATAAACGTGGCCATGGCTAAGATGATAACGAGCGTTAATGAATCCTCGGCCAAACAAACGTAATCAATTAACGCCCCACCGGACGACAATTTTACACTTACTCTTCTCTGCGATAAAATTCCCCGGTCAAACATGACCCAGTAATTTTAACTTTGGCTAACCCTCAAGTGAAACAAAGGAAAATTCTGCGCTCCCTTTCTCTCTCTCTCTCTCTCTCTCTCTCTCTGAAGATTAATGTTAGGAAAACCGATTCCAGGTCAACGACCGACACGGCGAATCTAAATGAATCACGCGCGCGCGCATATATGACTCTTGATTAAAAATTGGCAGAGAGAACGGATCTCGTGCGCGCCGCTCGTTTCGGCAGTGTCGCGGGTAAATAAACAAGGGCCGGGGCGCAGGGGGGAGAGGAGGAGGAGAGGAGAGTCGCTTTTTCGCGTGCTTCATCGCGGTGGAATTGCATCGCTTTCAATCGGTTTCAGCCGTGAGCGTTACGTTACCCTCCTTATCAGCGCTAGAGTTCAATATCGATCGCCTCCTCCCTCCTCCCTCCTCCCTCCCTCCCCCTGGCCGTACCGGACTGTAACACTCGCGACACTATAGTACACAATGCAATGCGGACGTCCCGATTTGCTCGCGCTCCTTTTATGTACACCTATTATAACGAAATGACAGCGACGCTGCTTCCGGCGTTCGCCGCGCGCTCCAATCGCTTCTCTTCCGCGAGCTTCCGCTTTCCGATTGCGAGCCGCAGCAAGCGGATCGAACGAGCCGAGGAGAGAGACGTCGTTATCAAAACTGGTATAATCGCCGGCGCATGTCGGCGAGAGACCAGTCTCTCTCTCTCTCTCTCTCTCTCTCTCTCTCTCTCTCTCTCTCTCTCTCTCGCCCTCTCTCGCCCTCTCTCGCTCTCTCTCTCTCTCTCTCTCTCTCTCTCTCTTTGGCTCAATAGGTCGTGAACGATCAACCGAGTATTCGTGCTCCACATTTAGCGTTAAAGCACGGCGCGTGTCGCCTGCTTCTCTCTCGTTTGGTAATGTGCGACACGGCACGACCAAGTCGCGTCCGAAGTCATCACCGGCCGAGAGTCGCGCGCGGTCGTAAGGAAAGCTCTTTACTCTCAGCGTGCATTTAATGTCGGATGTAATCCGAGACGTAAAACTTTTGATGGATTTTTCAGAGATGTCGTGACCGATGCAATTTCATGGCGGCACTTACAAATATGTGTAGATACGTATGATACAGCGAAGATAACGGGGAAAAATGGCGCGGCTACTTGGTAGAATGGATATAAAACGTTTCGCGCAAAATACTTACTTAGCCCATTTCTCCATCGCAAAGTCCATTAAAACTTTCGCCCGATACGTACGGATACAGCCGCGTTCAAAAAGAGTCGCCCGCGAGCTCGACGCGCGTCATCCCGACGCGGCGGAACCGTCGGACATGCTTCACGTCGTTTCACCGGTTTCACTGATGCATAATGCGAACGGTGCCGTTGTGTCATCTGGACGTCATATCATTTAGCGTCGGAGTCGCGTAAATTGCGGGGCGTTTAAAGCGGCCTTTAGTCTATCCGTCTGCGTTAGTCAGTTCCCGATGTGCGCGCTGAGATAACCCGCTGTTATTCGCTCTCATTTGTAATACGTAATGCGACGTAAATCACGCTCAATGTCATCGTCTCGTCGCGATTGCGCGATTGCGCGCTCGCGCGCGCGCGCGCGCGCGCGCGACCGAGCTTAAAGATCACACGCGCACACTCGCTCCGCGGCGCGCGCGGATTCGGCATCGCGCGATTCCACCGTCAACATCCTGAGACTCGTTCGCGGCAATAACGAGACGAGTTTATCGCCGTTATCGTTCCCCGCGCGTCGCGTCGCGTTGCGTCGCGTCGCGCAAAAGTCGCCTCGGAGCAGTTCACGTGCCGCGTATATCCGCATATTCAATTTACTAGCGATTTATTCGCGGCCGCTCGCGAATTCGCCTCCGCACACGCGCGTGTGCGTGCGGCTCGATGCTATCGATTCGCCGTGATATATTGGCTCCTCTCGCACCCCGTTTACCGTCCATCTCCTCTCCGCACCCCCGACGCGCGGCCGCTTCGTCTTCAGTCGCGGAGAGGGTGCAAAAAGACGCGGCCGCAACGCGGAGCAGCACTCTGTTGGTATTACCAATTATTACAACATTATTACCGCGTAATCTCGTGTATAATCGCCAAACAGCCAAATGCCGGTCTCTCGGTCAGGTAGACACGGCTCGGCGAGATCAGCCGAAGGAAGGAACCACTACCTGGGCCACCGGGACGAGAGAATACGGACGGGGTAGGACGAGAGAAGGACGAAAGCAGCGTGGGAATCGATCGCGTAGGACGTCGTGGCGGATTTTACACGCGGCCACGGGCGGAAGAGCCGAGGATCTCTCCGTGTTCGGAATGCACACGCAGGGATAGCAGGACTACCTTCGCCCATTGCCCGCGGACGACTATCCTTTTCGGCACTCGATAACATCTATTCCTACCCCCTAGGTGTATCCGTACCCCGTGCCCGGTGCACGGAATTCTATTTTCGTCTCGGCGGCGCCGTAAGAGAGAGAGAGAGAGAGAGGGGGGGGACAGAGAGAGAGAGAGAGAGAGAGAGAGAGAGAGAGAGAGAGAGAGAGAGAGAGAGAGGGAGAGAGAGAGAGAGCAATCATATTCTCCCGGAAGAATAACAGGAGCCGACGCGAGTTCCCGACTGCGCTCCGGCGCGGCGTTCCGCGAAGCAAAAGCGTCGAAACCGCCCCGGCGAGGTGCGCGCGGACTCCACTTGGACTTGGTGAGGTAGCACTGCGACGAGCGCCGGGAATATTGCACTGTCCTTGATTTACTTACCCAGCGGCACCCGGCGCGGCGGCCGCTCGGCCACGGTGGATCGCGCAGCTTCCGGAGAGATCGCTCTGTTCCGGTGGCTGGCTGTCCGGCGGCAGTGGCGGCGACGCGCGAGCCGCCGATGACGATGACGAGATGACGGCGCGATGATATGGTCGGTGACGACGACGAGGGACGTTTATATCCGCCGTGCACCATGCGCACAGACCACTCTGCTCGCTCTCGCTCTCGTGCGTGTCTATTAGCGGAGCGCGAGGCACGCGCTCTTTCGCCGCGCGTTTCGCTCCGTCACCGGCCACGACGGCCGTCACTCGCGTCGCGCGGCACGCGTGCGAGTCCCTCGCAGCCGCGAACTCACCCTCGAGACATCTGCTCCCTCACCCTTGCGCCGCATCCCCCTCCGCCACCGTGAGGGGGCCACGCGCGTGGTAGGGGCGCGACACTCCCACGTTCTTTCCCCGCAATTGGCTCAAACGATCCGCCGCCATATCCAGCCAAGTGCGCACGTCGGACCGACGACGTAGGCGTCGGGAGTTTTGTCGCCTCTCTTGAGGGCTCGCTCAAGGGGTTGCAAGCGTGTGGGGTGGATCGACTGGATGTTGGGCTGATTTGGGTTTGTAATAAACGACGCGGCCGCGCATCGCATGGCGCCTCTGTTGGTCCATTTAGGGATTTTCTTTACCGCGTCGCGCTTATGCTTCGGGCAGGGAGGGAGAGAAAAAGAGCGAGAGACAGAGAGAGAGAGAGAGAGAGAGAGAGAGAGAGGGGGGAGAGGAAAGGAGAAAGAGAGAAGAGGAAGATGAGTAGCTTGCGGATTATTGGACTTGGAAGTGGGAAAATTGCCTCGAATCAATTGGCAGATCGAACTCGTGAACTCGATCGAGAGATCGAGATGCACACATTTCGCTGTCTGCGTGAAAAGTCGCAGCGCAGAATTGAACGGCCGAAATGCAGATTTAAACGAGCAGAAGGCAGCGAAGATTTTGGAACACGTAATCTCTATTTTTAAGAATGTGGGCTTTTAGAACAGCTTGAAAGCAACTCTTCGGTTTGGTCGTGTATTTTCACGGAATCACGTCAACTCCCCGGTTGACATTGTTAAATTTATGTAACAAATTTCTCCTGCAGAAGCGTCTTTCGTTAATTTATTTGAGAATGATTCAGTCAAGTCGCTTCATCAATCATAAGTCGAACCGTTTGCAAGAACTCACCATTGTTCCACTCGGTATATTGTCTCCTCCGTATTTGTTTCAATCAGCAATCGTCTTGGCGCGAGAGTTCTGAAAAGAAACAATTAATAGGTGTCGTTATTAAATTATTCACGATTTTACACGAACCTGTCGCGTATTTTAGATCGGCATGCTGCCATCTAGGAAGGCTCCTTTGCGTCGTGGAGTGAAACCTATGCGAACTATTTTACCACCGCCGGGTCAGTAATAAAGCCTTTGAACAATAATATGAGAGTACAGATTGCAAGTAAATTCTTTTTCAAACTAGTAGTTTGATTTTGTCTCCTCATTCTTAATTCCCCTCCATGGATGATTTCCTCCTTTCCTTTTCATTAGAGAATTTTGTTGCGTCCTTTTGAAACCTTTTCATGTTAAATCTTACTAAATTCTAGGAATATCATTATCATAAATTGTTATGAAAAGCTACCGCGTCAACAAAATATATATGTCTTTGATTTTTTATCCAACTAGCAATTTATCATAGGAACTTTCCTCGTTCTCACGTCGAGCTGTTACTTGCTGAGCAAATCATAACAGATGTCCAGTCTTTATCTATTCAGTTCCCAAAGCGTAACCGTAGTTCGTTAAGCAAATATCACTCGTTTGATAAAAATGTCGCAAACTATACATCGATACTTTATCGCTCGCTAATAAAACATCAAACTAAGAAGATTGCAAACAAAAGTTATACCGTTACCTTTGCAATTTTAATCTCGGTAATAGAAATTTTTAATTCAGCATATATATATATATATATATATATAAGAATTTCAACCTAATTTCATATTTCAGTTCGATCGGTGACACCTAATGTTACGTGAGAAATTCAAATTCTAACGTCAATTTCAGCAACCTTCTTGTTAAGCGATCAATTTTACCGTTTGCTTTAAACAGATTTGCATTGGCAAGTGAAAGTGCGATATATGTAAGCGACTTGTAATATTAATCGATACAATGTCGATAATAATAGAACGATATCTTTCTCTAACAACAAACCTTTTTCTTTCCTCCGTCTGCATCATCAAGCCAGGTTTGTTTTACACAATCACGTGAGAAAAGAAATACGGGTTTCCCGAATAGCGGTAAAGTGCAATACCCTTTCAGAGCTTCCATTCGTATCCACGGCAACCTTTTCCAATTGCATGCCCACTGCGGAAAACCTGTGTTTAGCGCAACCCTTTACCCGCCCATTTACCCGAGCGCGATTGCACCCTGCTGCGTCAACAGCGATATCGCAACTTCGGGGTCATTTCGAACTGTGAGGCCAAAAGGGTCAATTATTCATTCAGTCAGCTGGCTAACTTTCCGCGCTCGAAAGCGCGCGTATTCAGGAACGTAGCGGTGGATTCACTGGAATTCACCTCGAAGCCTACGTGGCCTCGAGATTCTTTCCATCATGGACAGGATCTGTTTCGAGGATAACTACGAGGCGCGCGCTACTGTCGCAAACTCTCTTGACATCCCACTCGCAAGAGCGGCGGCTGTCATGCGGCACGCATGAGAACGAGAAGAGGAGACGGCGCGAGGCGCATTAAATCAGCAACGAATTTCAAATATTCATGACCGCGCGATCGCATCGAGAGAAACTTTGGATAATCGCCCGCACGAAAGCGCCTACGAATCGCGCAGGTGCGAATCCTACAGGTCTTCGGTCATCCTACCGTCCACGTCCACGAGCGCCCGTAATCTTTTCGTAAGCGTAAAGAAACACGACGTCCGCCTCGCATCGCCGATTTCGATCATTCCGACATCCGACCGAAAAGACCGACACATCGGTCGATCTTCGATCCAACGCGAGATCGAAAATGGCATCGGACAAGTCCTTCGCGAGTGTCATCCGCGTGAACATCGCGCTGCTGCGGCTGACAGACCTGGTGTCCTGCAGAGGACACGCGAGGAACTCTCAGCTATCGCGGACCCTGCGGAACGCCCTGAGCGTGACCTCTTATGGTTGTCTATTTATTAGAGATGTGCGAACTATTCGAATTCGAATCGAATCGAATCGAATCTAATGTAATTCGATTCGATTCGAATCTGAATCCTTATGATTCGAATCCGAATAATTCGAAAATTTCGAATCGAAGATTCAATTACGAATCAAATATATTAGCGTGCATTATATTTGCATGCATCAAGTACAAAACGAGACATCTGGGCCTGTATGTTTGAATCCTTAACTTGTAATTAACTTAACTTATAATTAATAACTTAATTATAAATTATTTTAAATATTTAAATATATATTTTACTTTAAGATGATATTACAATATCAATATCCCCTTTCATATTAAAACCTTCCATCATTATGTGCATGTTTAATAGTCATGTTAAATTTTTTAATGATTTGATTCGATTCGACATAAAAATTCTTGATTCGCACATCTCTACTATTTATCTACTTGCTCTTGTACATCAACGAATTTATCCTGTACACCGTCCACCTCGACACCTGGATAGACTCGTTGACGATGATCTTGTCTGTCCTAAGGGTATGAACACAAAGGAAGCAGGTTTTCTGCTTTCCGATAAGCAGTGCCGATAAGCGCGGGCTATTGGTGCACTTGAGAAGGGCACACTAGATGCGTGTTAGAGCAGGAAACCTGCCAATTTCTGAGTTGATGTCTTGCAGTAACGATGTCTTCATCCGATGAAGATCTTTTTTTATTGGATAATATTATACCAAAAATACAAAGAAACAGATTTGGTATACACGAAATAAATAAAAGCAGAAGAAATAATAGTGAATACCATAAATTTATTTGATGATCTCAAGAGAGACGAAGAAAAATTTTTCCACTACACAAGGATGACTCTGGAAACTTTTAATTGCTATGATTTTTACTTCTTTTATCCCAAATGGGAGATCTTACTACAAATATTGTTGAAATTAAATTATCGATGTCCAGCGTTGCAGCGTTTCAGGAGTCAGCTTACAATCGGAAAGAAGGGTACGAACACGAAGGAAGCAGGTTTTCTGCTTTCCGACAGCCAGCGCCGATAAGCGCCGATCGGCATTAAGAATGTATACGTGTCATCATATGAGACCGCGCATAATAAAAACAGATTCGGACTTGTACGCGCGTGTCATCGGCGCGAGCGAAATTTACCGGGACGAATTTTTAGTTCCTTCTTTCTCTTCGGTATTTATTCAGAATCAACCTCATCCATTGGTGTCGATGATCGGTTGGAAATTCAGGTCTCTGGAGAATTTTCAACCAAAGAATGTCTCATCTGGCTCCACTGTGCGCCGGCTACATCGTGCCATTATCCCTGCAAACTCTCGCATCCGTACGTACGTCTTTCCGCGCGAGCGAGTCAGCCGTCGAGCGGAAGACACTCTGCGACGATAAGCGATAAGACGTCATGTTCCAGATGGTGTCGACCGCGGGGCGTCCTTCTTCACCATGATGCGCAGCATGAATTAATGTTACCTTCTATCGACGTAGAACGCGACACTTTTGCACTCCGAGTCATTGTTACAGCGTTAATGTTTACAAACGTATTAAAGACAGCGCTCATCGAAAGTGAGTAACAACGAGCTACAAACGAGAGCTACAAACTCTAACGCAGTCTTTCCTTCGGCATTTCGTCTCCCTTGAGATTGCTCATGAAGGATTACACGTCGAAGGAGCACAGTACTACTCCTGAAAAAGACGGAGGATCACCGGCTAATTAATGCTCAACGACCGCACGTCAGCAAGGGAAAAGAAGAAGAAAAGGGAACACACAGTGAAACACACGACGAAAGCAGCAACGAAGAGCTCATCAGGCACGAGACCGGCTTTTTCCCGGATTAGCTTCGAACACTATACGGTATTCGTAACGTTGACAACGTCGGAAGATTTAGCCACGGAGAGACACTCCGCGGAGCTCTGCTACGATTGCTTAAAGTAACGAGGCAGGCGTTAACCTCCGTGGAAACTAATCCAAAGAAAATGTCGGAGAGAGAAAGGCTTTCGATGTAACTCTTGGCTTAAGCCGGGGGCATCGATCATTTCCTTTTTCCGTTGCACCCTCGGCTCGTACGTGTCGGGAGTCGCTACCTTGCCGCATCGCGAGAAATACGGCTAACAGAGCGCTGTCCATCGCCACGGCGAGAGCCACGTGGCGC